GGGAGGCGGGTGGAAGGGGAGATATGAAGAGGCCTCCCTCCCACACAGACTGTGGAAGGGAGCCTGCAACCTGAATGTGAGGTTATTGAATAAATTATCCTCCGTCTCTCGCTCTCTCCTCATTGGGCCGCGGAGCAGTGAACACTTCTGCATCAATGATGTGATGATGAGATCTTTGCATTCACTGCACAATCTCACACTGTTACCTTCTGCTAGGACAGACACACTGAGCTGTGCATTCTCCCCCGTTCGAAAGCTCAATTAAGATCCTAAATCATTCCGAGGGGATGAAGCGGAGAATTAATTTGCTTTCTCGCTCTCTCCATCCCCCCCCCCCCCCCCCCCCCCCCCCCACACACACAAACACACTCTCTATGGTCCTTCTCTTTGTTTTCTTTTCTCCCTCTTGATATCAAAGCAGATGAAAAAGGCAATGTGGCCCAGGAAAAGGAATACTGCTTAAAAAATAAGTAACATTTCAGTGCTCCAAATTCAGCTGTCAACAGGCAGGGAAATTAAAAATAGCTGGCACAGCTCTAAATCGGAGACAGCATTGTTCCTCTAACGAATGCAATTAGTAAAGCGAGGAAAGGAGTGCATTCCCCCTTGTCCTTCTGCACAAGCCCTTCCAAATGGGATGCAGAAAGAACATTTTTCCCCTCCAAGAACTGCTTGGATGCGAGGCCCCCACACACGTTTCACCATCGAATCTTCCCTCCAGCTAAAGCTAGGACTTCCTCTCAATCTCTTCGCTAAGGATTTGCTCTCAGGGTTCAGAAATAATTTAATCCACATCCTCATACCAAACTCACGTAGGTCATGCCCCCACCCCAATGGGGGTTTCTAAATGCCAAGGGTCTCCTGCTTCTGTTCCCTTGCTTACTTGTTCGACCATCGCTGTCCTTGCTGCCCTCACGTTAGCTTTCGTAAATCCAGGACTGCGTGGTGCGCCTCGAACAACTGGTCTATTAGTCTGGTATTTATTTAGTTTTAAAACTTCCAGGGTGAGTCAGCTTCTTTGCAATCCTGTGGCTCTCACACCTAAGGGTAGGGCAGCATTGTCTGCCATTGCCTCGGCTACAAAGCATCTGCTTTTCCAGTGGGAGCTACGCCATAGCGTGCCAGCCTTTGGCACTGGAAAGCTCAGACACGGAGCTCTGTCAGCTGTCAGGCACTCTCACATAGGGAGTGGTGAAAACTGCAAACGCCTGGACATGAAACTAGACTGGAATAAATGCTAGGCAGGGCAGAATAGGAACCAGTCCAGCTCTAGACTGGACCCAATAGATTTGTCTCTTCATGCCAGTGTCAGTTTAAATCTTGTAAATCCACTGAGCAAATGTCCATTTTAGATGCCTTACCATGCCCCCTGCGTCATGGTCAGTCCAGACAAAACCAAGGAAATACGGAGGTGAGGAGGGCTTTGAAAGTGAAGAAGGACCTGCTTGGAGTTAATGGAGGGGAAGGAAAGCCAGTATATAGGTTCAGACAGGGAAGGCTGCTGACTGTCGGAAAGCTAGCCAGCTAGCCTGACCGATAAAACCCAGCTCACAGCCTAGATCAGCGGGGGAAAGTCAGACCCTTTCAAATCAGAGTCGGCTCTTCCAGCATATCCAGAGCAGGGAGATGAGGCGAGAGTGATAGCAAAGAGGGAATCGCATGGGATGCTATGAAAAGGGAGAAGTGCCAGAGACCCCACGGTGCCCACCAGGTATTTCCCTGTCACTAAACACTTTTGTGTAGAAGATGCTCAGATCCTCTGGCAATGGGGAGCAGTATAAACCCTTAAAGTAGGTAGGTAAGTACATTGATTGCTTCACCCAACTGTGCACATCAAATAATTGATCAATCAGCCTACCTACCTTGTCAAATCAATACAGAGAAGGCACACTGGTGAGCACAAACTACCAGGCTGTATGACTCCTTTTGATCAAACCCAGCAATTCCTAGGCTGGGCGATGATTTTGGACAACGCCAGGCTCCTGGGGCTGTGTAACCCTCACACCAATGCCAACACGAGAGCGGTGCCACCTGCGTGCACCTCCTTGTCTTTGACATAGTTTCATAGTTGGTCGGGTCGAAAGGGACCCGAGCAGATCATCAAGTCCGACCCCCTGCCATGGCAGGAAGGACTACTGGGGTCAAACGACATCAGCAAGGTGTTTGTGTAGCCTTGTCTTAAAGCCCCCCAGGCTAGGAGCCAGCACCGCTTCTCTTGGAAGCTGGTTCCAGATCCTAGCCGCCCTGACCATGAAGTTGCACCTCCTGATGTCTAGTCTGAATCTCCCCCCTGCCAGCTTGTGACCGTTATTCCTGGTCACTCCTGGGCGTGCTCGGGGGAACAGGGACTCCCCCAATTCCTCCTGGTCCCCCCTGACTAGTTTGTAACAGGCCACTAGATCCCCCTTGACCTTCTCTTGTGGATGCTGAACAGGTTCAGGTCCCATCGCCTCTCCTCGTAGGGCCTGCCCTGCTGCCCCCAATCATGCGAGTGGCCTCCTCTGGACCCTCTCCATGCCGTCCACATCCCTCCTGAAGTGCGGCACCCAGAACTGGACGCAGTACTCCAGCTGCGGCCTGACCAGTGCCGCATAGAGGGGGAGGATCACCTCCCTGGACCTGCTCGAGATGCATCTGTGGATGCACAACATGGTGCAGTTGGCCTTTCTGACCGTGTCCCCACACTGCCGGCCCATGTTTATCTTGGCATCAGTGATGACTCCAAGATCCTTTTCTGCCTCTGCCCTGACGAAAAGGGAGTTCCCCAGCCTGTAGATATGGTGCTGGCTCTTCCTCCCCAGGTGCAGCACCTTGCACTTGTCAGTGTTGAATCCCATCCTGTTCTCATCCACCCACCCCTGTAACCTGTCTAGGTCTGATTGCAGCCTATTCCTCCCTTCTAGCATGCCCACATCCTCCCACATCTTAGTGCCATCAGCAAATTTGAACAGGTGCTTTTTACCCCCTCGTCCAGGTCGCTGATGAAGATGTTGAACAGTGGGGGCCAGAGGACCGAGCCCTGCAGTCCCTTGCATTTTCTAAAAAATGGTCTTGATGTCCTTCATTTGCACGCTGCCCATAATGCAGCTCGGCGAGACTTTCGCTCTGAGCTAACACATAGCTGGCAGAAATAAAAACGTCATGGGAGATTGGCTTATATTTTTTTATATATGAGCTGTCACTAGGAAACTATTTGCTATTAGGGTCAAAGGCATGGGAGCGGTCACACTGGCCTGCCATAAGTGGAAGGCATTTGCTTTGTCCGTGGTAGGCAAGATTGCCACGACCACAAACAGGCTGAAGGGCACTGGCTAGCAGCAGTAGTAAATAATCCTTTAAAACACAGAGGGCCAGGCTGTGAACCCTTTCCTGCTGTTGGTGAATAGCTACACGCACAAACCCTCCCACAGCCTCTAATAGGGTCTATGTGTGAAACTCATCCCTGGTATGAGGAGAGAAAGGACAATTAGACCCCAAATGATTCAAAGTTATCAGCCAAACAGGGTGCTCTGTCTACACCACTATTCTCAACCAGGGTGTCACAGCACCCTGGGGTGCCTTGAAATCCTTTCAGGGGAGTCGTGGGGTACCACACAGTGTTAGCACTGTTGGGTGTGCAGACATGAGTCACAAGGTGAACCCAGAGATTTCCAACAGAAATCCAGAGTGTGAAAAATATTCTGACCTGCTGCGGGGCTTTCTGAGGTCTTTGCAACAGAAGTGCTCTATTATTTTGTTTTGTTATCAAAAGATGTGCAAAAACTAAAAGTGCTGAGGGAAAGGGGGGGCTCAACTCTGTTGAGGGGTGCCTCAAGCCCAGAAAAGGTGGAGAACTAGTGGTCTAGCAAGCACGTTTCCATCAGCCCTTGCAGAGCGTCTTGCTAACACAGCTTCCCACACCCCAGCAGACTCGGTCCCTCTTTGCAGCGCTGCCGTGCCTCATGTACTTTGGGCCAGATGCTGATCCTGTGTGCTCATCCTATCTAGCACCGGGGTCCCACTGAAGTATCGGGGGGGTCACGCCAGACTGCAAGGAGCACAGCCTGTCCCTTATTATAAAAGTTAACTCACAGCAAAGCAACTCCTATGCTCCTCACTCAGCCTTTACGCAGGGGAAACTCCGGCAGAATTCAAGAGATGGAAAAAAACCTGGCAGGATTAGACCACAAACAGCAAACACCTCAATGCCCTCCCGAAACCAGACACCCCCCCTGGAGCCTGTGGTTTGAATTTAAGGAAGGAGGGTTTGGCAAGGTTTTGCAGTGTCAGAAAAACATCCTAGCAATGGACCACAGGCCTCTGAATTGTTGCTGTTACGGCCGAGACATTTTTTCCATGGGCTTTAGAGAGATTCATCACTGTGATTGCAACACATTTCTGTCCAATAATAGCGATCGATGTTACCTGGAGTGCCCTATTTTTAGATGTATTTTCTTTCAAATCATGGACCACTTAGGGCCTTCAGTCCTCTCGTACAGCTCTCATTAACATCACTGGCAGCTCTCCACGCTCAGCGATGGCAGGAGATGGCTCCATTTATGAAATTAGCTTCATTAGCCCAGAAAAAAAAAAAGATATCGTTTTGCCACAAATGTCCAAATGGACCTGACTGCCATTCTGCTTGGCTTTTGGGAGCTGGGGATTGAGCCATGTGCTTGTTGGAAGGCAATTCTTCCAAGCTTTTGCACAATTTTACCCATGACCTTGATGTAATCATGGAGTTTTAATGAACCTAGGGTGGAATATACACACTGAATAAAAGATATCTCCATACAGCCCACCTCCATGATACATTCAGCTGGAAGAAACTTTTAAGAGAGAGAGTAATTAACTGTTAAAATGGCTTGCCAAGAGATGCAGTAGACTAGCAGGAATTGTTAACCAAAATCCTCTGGCCACTATTAGGCAGGATGTTAAAGTGGGCAACCTAAAAATATACGAACCTAGGAAATGTAGGATAATCAGAGGAGATTCGGGCTCATGATTTTTCTGTAGCTTGGAGAGAATATTTTATTTTACAAAGGCCATGCGGCCAACTCGGAAGATTTTTTGTTCAAGCTTTGCAATACGTAGCGTTTCTCTTAGCCTCCTGGAGTCACGTGATCATGGAAAATTTGCAGATTTTATAAGAGACCTTAAAAAAAAAAAGTCTGTTTCCAACCCAACTGGTCACTGGGAAAAGCTTGAAAATCTGAACCCTAAAGGGTAAAAAGTAGAAGGCAACTAACAAGAAACAATACTGCGTTGTGTTTTAAAGAAAATCTCCTGAATGTTAAGCCAGCCGCAGGATTTTATGAGACTGACTTGCTATCTGGACGCTTGCGGTTGGTGATACGATGAATTTTCTATGTAGAACTGTTTAATACTGAAAAGGCACCACCTGCCAGCTTGTAAAATGGTCAGATTGTCTTGTGAAAAGAACTCATCAGCTTTGAAAACCTGAACTTAATTGACACTGAAGAAGCCCTGGGATAAGCAGCTCCTCTTGCATACAGATAGCTCCCCAAAGATGTTTCTCTAGGCCACTGTAATAACCCTGACCTGGCTAAGGCAGGTAGGAATGGAAAGGGCACATGGCATGGGAAATGGTTGGAAATGGGAGTGGGTTGCAGAGACAAGCAAGGAGCAAAAGTGAGATGCAGGAGCGTGGAGGAGGGTGGACGAAGAATGGGGCTGGACAGGGAAAGCCACGGATCCAAGCGATGATTCCCCCCTCCCCTTCCCCAAAGCAGAGCAGAGAGGGGATGGGATCATCTGTCTTCGTTACATCATCCAAATAGGCTCTGTCAGTTTACACTGTAAAACTAATCAATACGCTCCTGGAGACCTTGCCGGCTGCAGGCCTCCCGTCACGCGTTAGCAGGCAGCCTCCATCCCCAGCCGGGCAGGTGGGGGCAGGGGCATCCAGCAACCCTGAACCCCCCCACGCACTTAGTCATCCTGCTGCACGTCTCACATGCCCACTCACATGCACTTCCCGTTTCCCCCGCCTGGCAGCAATGAGCTCTGTGGCTTTGGGGCAGGCAGAGCTGGGCAAATTACTGCAAAGCCTCATCTGCAAATGTTTGCTTAAGTTTGCTAATGAGTTTGCTTTGGCCCTGTTCATATTCTCGCCTCGCTCTCTCTTTCCTGTCCATGCGTCTTAGGGCTCCATTTCCATCTCATCCAATGCCCTGGGGTTGGCTTCTCTGACCCGCTGCGACTCCACAATGCGACAAAACGCAGAGCACAGACTTTCCCCTCACAAGCCAGGGGGCAAGGAGACCCCAACAGTGCAGAACTCGAACAGATACGAGCCAAAGAGCAGGATCTGCCCGTGGACATCCCGGAGGAAGAAGCTGAAGGTTGGATCTCAAATCCCTTCCAGGCACCACTGTGAAGTTTGGGCCAGCTTGTCAAAAGGGCTCAGTAGCCACCAGCTGCCACTGTGCTGCTTCTGGGAGCTGATGGGTAAGGCCCTTTGGAAACCCTGGCCCCTTTTTTGCACAATGCTCAGCAAGTATACAGCGCATGCCTGTATGTAGCCTGGTGCAAATTGTAGCTCACAATTATCCCTGGGTGCACACTAGAAACTCTCTTTGTCTCCTCTCTACCTCCCCGTGCTCAGTCCTCGCATATAGGGAAAGGGAGTTAATAACCCTCAGCCGGAAAGGTCAAGATTCAATCATCTGGTGCTGCTGGGCGCAAAGGCTTTCGATTGCTTCATAGGCAGAGGCAGGGGTGAAAAATGACAGAGGGGTGGGGTGGGGGATGCCTTTCTGAGTACAGCCATCAGTGTGTGCAGCGGGGTGTGCTACCACGGGGTTAACCCCTTCGCTGCTAATGGAAAAGCCTTTCAACCTGGTGGCAGGTTTACAAAGGGCTGGACACCGAAACAATGGGAGCAGCCGGACCCGGCTACATCTTACAGAGCCGTAGCGGGCCCAGATCACCTAGAGTTCCCCGCGTAACTAAAGGCTTGAGACCCTGATCCAGAGATGGTTAAAAATCGACAGAAGCCTCTTGACTGACTTCAGTGCCCCCGAGCTCGGCAGAAGCGATGCCAGACTCTGCTGTTTGCAACGCCAGTGGAAGGCCAGAGCAGCTCCACTGAAACCACGTACGCAGGTGAAACAGGGCAATGTTGGCATTGGGAGGACTCGTCTCTTTGTGTTTAATAACCGCATGGCACGGAGAACGTCTGAAGGCCGTTTGACTGCACTGCCCGCTCTAGAAACACAGCTCAGAGAATCAATGCATCTCCACCAGGCTCTGCCCTGGTCCTTTCCACTAAGTGCCAACAAAGCTTTTGCTCCTGCATCTCCCCGGGTCTTTGACAGCACTCCCTCCTGCAGGGCGTGAAGGAGATGACTCTCCCGCTCCAAGGGGGCTGGGAGTAGCTGCTCAGCCCCTGATGTGAAGGGCATTGCTCACCATGCCCTGACCACACATGGGGCTGAGCTCTCCTGCCAGCTCCAAGCTAGTTCCTTCTTATTCCCCTCATGGTGGTGATGGGAGCTGGCTCCAGCAAGCTGGAGAGTGCCCTCCGTCCTCTCTAGCAGCAGGGAGCTCCCCACATCCTGCCTCCATTCATACCGCAGACCCTTGTTTTTCTGCCATGACCCCTTCTCCTCCCAGCACCCTGCATCTCACAGCATCTGCCTACAGCTCACACTCACAGCGCATGCAAAGGGGAGCAGGAAATCACCCTCATGGGAGCTGTGTCTGGTCTAGGGGTATCCCCCAATGCAGATTCCTAGTACAGGGAGGCAGAGGTGCTCTGTGCAATGCTGGGGATGTCCTTTCTCTTGAAACCCAGGTGAGTTAGACTGGGTTTGCTGTGGCTTCGGGCACTTGGCCTGTCTGCATCTGGCATGTGTACTGGGGCAGCAGCGCTGGTACCCAGTCCCCCATGGCTGGGACCGCTGGAGCAAATAAGACCCCTGTGACTTCTTCCAAGCTCTTTGGTTTCCACCTTGCCGCTGCAATTCTCCATCTGAAACACCCCACACCATTATTCTCCACGACAAGGAGTCTGCGCGCTCAGATCCATTAGGCTTGATATGAAGTGACAACTGATAGCAAACTGTATTGGCAGCCTCTTATTGAATATAATTACTCAACAGCAACCATCCTGAATCAGTTCATAACAGCAGAGCTCAACTTTAATGCTGTGCTCCCCAGAGCCCGGAGAAGTCACCGTGCTTTTGTTGCTGGGTTTACTTAGTTTTTTTAAAGCATTTCAGCCACTTTTGTTTACTGCTGTCGATCTCGGCAGAGCAGCAAAGGTGATTCCAAGTGTGAATAATCTCAGCTAAGGAGCAAAACAACCGAGGAAACTGGTTTTATTTGAGCTAGAAAATGAGAGACTTGGAGGTGAGGAAATAGAAAGCGTTTCCCAACCTCTGCCGGTCTGTGGGCACCGGCACTGACCTAGCAATACACTGCAGCAAACACCAGACGTTCAACCTGTCAATCTCATTACGAACTCTGAATTTCCTCCAGCCCTGAGCAAGATCAGAGGGTCCCACGGCAACATGGTACCCATATGTCATGGGTTAGGAACCACCGAATAGTTAAAAGCATTACTGTTACCTTACTCGTAATTACAGTAGACCCTGTAAGTCCTGAATGAAATCAGGGCCCCATTGCACTAGGTGCTGGATATGCACATGGGATGATATAGTCCCTGCCCCAAAGAGCTTATAACTTAAATGGACATAGGAAGGGTGATTATCCTTGCTGCCCAGATGGAGAGCTGACACGTGTCCAAGGTATACAGTATCCAGGAACAGAGCCCCGACTCCCTGAGACCCAGTTCGGTACCTCAACCACAAGTACAACTGCCCTTGTTTTGGTCATAGTTTTATTCTACCTGGCCTCCTATGCACAAAGCAACCGGCCCAAGGTCTCCAGCAAGGCCCCAGCACCGCTCAGAGAGAAGCCCACCTTAAAGAGCTATGTACATTGCAGCAACCCCTGACGGCCTGCACGGAGATCGGGGACCCACGGGGCTCATTCTGCACATCCTGCTGGAGTGAAAGACAGCCCCTGCCCTCCCAAGATAACACCGCAAATGCAGGCTGCAGACAAGGGCCGGAGAGAAAAATGGAGGAGGAAAGCAACTCATCCAGGAGAGACTCGGATAGCCTGGCTCAGCCCCGCGCCCTAGCCAGGAGCCTATTCTTCTCCCGGGACCTGAGATGACTTGTGTGCATGAGTTACCTATGGTGTCCCTGCCTCTCACCTCTGTCTGGGTGTCTGTCTGCCTTTAGCACCGTGGGAGCACTGAATCACAGGCCCAGGGGAGGGATGAGCTGCCTTCAGAAAGCAGCTGGATTCCTCTCGGCCCCCCCCGTCCACACTCCTGTGCGATCAGGTAAAGGGCTCAGTTTACTTGGCTTCCTCCTGCTCCGCTCCCAGAACAGGACCCTGGGCTAGACCCTCGAGTGGCGCAAACCAGCCAGTAGTGGTCCTCCACTTTGCGCCCAGCCTATGTCTAGGACGCAGGCAGCAAAGCGAGGCCGCCCCTCCTCTCCCATCCCACCGAGCCTGCTTTCCACTCGCATGCAAAAGTCTCGCCCAAGACAAAAACCATCCATCTTCCTCTCCGCTCAGCCGCACTGCTAAAAATAAGCCAATAAAGTAGCAATCACCTCCGAGCAGCCGAGGCTCTATTAAAGCGCCAGGAGCTCAGACACCTGCGTCTAGGCGCTGCGGCGTGTACAAGCCAGGAACCAGATAAGGCTGCACCTGCCGGGGCAGCTCTGCCTTTCTGTCATCGTTTTTAATGAAGCCACGGGCCTCAGCATATCAACCCCTGGCTCTTCCCAGATAATGCCCAGCCGTCCTCTAAGGTTGGCTGCTGGTCCAGAGAGCCCCCACCACTCCTCACCGTGCTGCCCCCCGCTCTTTCGACAGAAACAATAGGACTGCCATGTGCAAAACACGGCCCCACCAAGGCGCCGGGGCACCGACAGCTCAGGATGAGATGGCAGGCAGGAAGGCCAGCTTTGCTATTATTTCCCATTTGCTGTATTAGTAATTAATAATAATAAAGTATTATTAGTTATCAGGGCTCACAGCTGCTCATGAAAGAGATTAGTTACTGGTTATTCATTAATCACCGCTCGCTGTTATTCTTTGTGCATGCGG